ATAATTTATATGTTTCTTTCGAAAAATGGGATACCTGCAAGTGATGTGTGTGAATCTCGATTCTGATTGGTTGATGAAACGTGGCATTTGTTTGCGTAAAGAGTAGTTTTTTTCCCATTCTATTTAGAGTAAGCCAAGCCTGTCAAGTAGCAATACTCTTAAGTGACACATTCTATATTCTTTCAAGGATTTCAATTCTTTCGCTATATATTTACTACTTAACACAAAGACAGGCACTAAACTATGTTGAGCATAAACTATTTACAACTCGAAGTTTGCCAGGTACATAAAACAAATATATATCAAGGCTAGAATAAAATACATAAACAAATATTAAATCTAAGTTTAGTAGAAGACAAGAAAGAATTACATTTCCTTAAATTCATTGCGTGATATGGCGCTGGATTTAATTAATTTCACGTTAATTAACATTCAAACTTATGTAGAGAAACTTAGTTCAACTTAAACACACCATTTTGCTTATAAGCTATCATCTGACGCTGACATCATAAGTCACATGTGTGGGTATCAGTGATCCTCTTCTTGATGTGCAAGCACTGAATTAAACAACAATAAAGAAAATTTAAAATCTTAGAGAAAAGTAAATTGCAATTCATGATTTTTACAAACCTAGGGAAAAATCCTACTGAATGCGGTTTAATCGTTCTATTTTAAATGCACCAATCAAAATCTGAAAAAAATAAATTCTCTCTCTTTTTCTAGCTTCATAAAAATCTATCAAAAGAATTATGTAAAATAATTATATAAAAAAAAATTATTTAAAATCATTTCAGTTGAACTCATTCATCTCTTTAAGTTTTCGATTTTACATCCAAATTTCATATACTATATTTCTCAAAAAATTATATAACTATAATTATAAAATGAGTACAATTTAAGAATTTAAAATATCCACAAGAATTAAACAGTTTAGTATTCGAATGTGGGAATTTTTTCTTCTTCTTTTGATGCATTACAACTTAAATTAGTATTTTATGAGGGTTTTTTTTTTAATCCATGAAAAGCGAATTTTTTTTGTCTTAAATCTATGCATATATTTTTCATTGTCATTGATATCCGCCACGTAAGTCAAAATTACTAATGATACATGAAAATTACTACGTTACAAGAATATTACATAAAATATACATTTGAATACTTCTCCTTTACTTAAATTTTTTTTAAAGCAGCTTTTTTACTGCATTACACAAAAAATTTCATGTTATAAAATTGTTGGCTATCAAGTTTGAAGAAAACTTTTCAAACTACACAGATATAAATCTGTTTCGTAAATGAGATCAAAGTATATTATTATTATTATTATTTATCAAAAACTCTTTATAAAACTTTTAATAAAAAAGTGTAAGAAGTTGCAAAAAAAAATATTTAGATTGCCACAAATACCACAAACAACCATATATATAATATATATGATGTATATATATATGTAAAAATTCACTTTATTTTATTAGTGTTTTCTGTTGTAAAATTATATAATAGATTCCTTTTATTGAAAGCCCAATCAAATAAAACATCGTAAAAGAAAAAATTCAGATTTTTGCCATTCATATGATGAGAAAAAAAAAATTATGATCGATAATAAAACTATGTATACTAACTTCATTTTGTTGAAGGATAATGTATAAGTTTAAAGAAAACTAAAATTTAGTGTTAAAGTATATCTGAATAAATACAATATTTATGTTTTCAAAAATTTAAAAAGGAAAAAAAAGCTCATAATTTATTTGAAACTAAAATATTAACAAATATTTCTGGTATTATCTTTTAAGTAGTTAGTTTTAACTCAAAAAGAGTGGTCTTAGTTTCCATGAAATTCTTCGACATTTTTCAAAGACATAAAGATTTCCAATTCAATTATTTAATCCTGTAAATTTATATTGGAAAAACAAGATGAATGTATTCACCTTTATGTATTAAAGATAAATATACATCTTTATATCTACATCTATATTTCGATCAGAAATTAGATGAATGCCATATTTTAAAACTAAAATGGTGGCCAACACTAGCAAATATCAAATTAATCTTTTAAGTCAGCCTGCCCCTATTTTCTAAAATGCGTTTTACATCCTTGTAGAATGTATTAATGCTTAAACAATAGACGGGAATAGATAAATATATGATATTAAAATTTAAATGACAGCACTTTAGCAATTATTAAAGAGATATATCCATACAGATATATAAATTTAAAGAAAATGAAATAATTTTTTCAAAACATTACTGATCTTCGCTATAAATTTAAAAATTATGGATTAAAATTTTTGAATAACTGACTTTTTTTGAGGAAAAAAAAAATTATATATGTCAGATATTACATTTTAAAAGAATCTGAACTTTCTCAATACAGTGCACAAATCATTATATGAAGGAAAATTATTTTTAAATTAAACAAAAACTTAAATTTAAAATACTAAATCTTTTTTTGTGTTCTTAAACAAAAATTAGTTTAACTCTAATTATTAATTAAAGTTAATTAAAAAATTTTTAATCTTTTTTACTTGTGTGTTTTTTTGTTGTTCTTAATTATCTTCCATATTATTTTGACATACATTGTATACCATCATTTTTCAAAAGTTATGAAATACGTTTACTAATAAGTTTTAAGCATTGCCAGTGTAAAAACAAAAGTTTAAAAAAAGTCCAGATAAGAATAATTTCTTAACTGCTATAATTTTCTATTTCTAAACAAAACATTTCAAAGTTTAAATAATAATAGAATATATTAGATTGTTTATTTGTGAATTAACATATTTCACGAATACAAATTATATTAAATTAGCTTTATTGCTATTATTCATGAGTAATTTTATAGAATATATTTTAAGTTCATTACTTATTTCATGAGCATTTTTCATGTATATAAAATTGTATTTAAATTATAACCATCATTTTTCAAAAGTTATGAGTTACGTTATTAAAAAGNCTAATGGTAATGACTTTTTAATATTTTTAGACAAAACATTTCAAAGTTTAAATAATAATAGAATATATTAGATTGTTTATTTGTGAAAAAGCATATTTCACGATTACAAATTATATTAAATTAGCTTTATTGCTATTATTCAAGAGTAATTTTATAGAATATATTTTAAGTTCATTACTTATTTCATGAACATTTTTCATGTATATAAAATTGTATTTAAATTATAACCATCATTTTTCAAAAGTTATGAGTTACGTTATTAAAAAGTTTTGTTCAGCATTGCCAGTGTAAAAAAAAAGCCAAATAAGATTTATTTTCTAATTTCTATGATTCTCCATTTTTAGACAAAACATTTCAAAGTTTGAATAATTATAGAATATGTTAGATCGTTATTTTCGAATTAATATATTTCACGAATACAAGCTATATTAAATTAGCCTATTGCCTTTATTCAAGAGTAATTTTATTAAATATATTTTAAGTTCATTAATTATTTCATCAACTTTTATGTATATAAAATTGTATTTACATTTAAAATACAAATATTTACGAAAACATAAAATATCACTTGAATCTTTAGTTATAGTTAAACATATGCATTCTTCTATCTTTGTAAATGAGTAAAATTAAGATTGTTTTAGGCACATTCATAAATATTATTCTACAAGCTAGATATCCCATTTATTACACACTTATTAATGTATCCTAATATTACACGTTTATGTATAATTTATAATGCTTCACTTATTAATGCTAAATTAGCAATATTCTTGAGAAAAAAGCTTTTTGAGAACTCCAAATGTAATCAATAATATTCCTCCAAAACTTTAGAGGGAATAAATTTTAAAAATTGGAACTTGTGCTAACATGATCTCTGTGGGTTACTTCTTTTTTCGTTGCGTTGATTTTCACATTTATGAATGCAAAAAATAAAAGCAACTAATGATGTTAAAGTAAATTTTATAACTTAGCAGTAAATTGAAACGTGTCACTGTTTCAAAACAAGCCCGACATAAACATTTTAATATTAAAACTCAGCTTGCTTAAAAAGTTTCATATTTTAATTACATATTGTAATTACAAATCTTTTTTTGATAAATTTGACTTCGGATTTTGTTAAATTTGACTAATTGAAAATTATTAATTATCATATTAATTATCAGATAAAATCGGATAAAATATTAACAATTTCTGAAATCACAATCTTTAAATATTTCTGAAATTATTGACGTTCCCAAAATATTTCTTAATTCGAAAGCGAATGTATATAAAAATGAGTTTACACATTTTTGTATAAACTAATATACTTATATTTCGATTGAAAAATATTATTCAATCAAAATATACTTTTTTAAAACGTTAACGTGAAGAAAAAAATAACATATATGATTCAAATAAATAAATTTAATTAATAGCTTAATACTCTTAGAGATATTACAATTATATTTCAATCACAATTAGCTTTTATATATTCTATATATTCCATTATATTTCAATTACAATTTAAAAACACTTTCTAAACTCATAAACACTTCTGAAATTCATTTTATACTTCTAATATTTCGATTTCTAAAAGTCCATACCGTAATATTTTTAAACCGCACTGTCAAGCAAAATTATAATATCACTACATATTTAAGTGTCATGCATTTACTAGGAAATATATATCAGAATCATGTATATTTATGTATTCCTTGATTTAAAAAAAAAGTTTAAAAAAAGTTCGTTTATACCATAAATTTTGTGTCAATATATTTCCCCAACATTCGAACTTAAGTTTAAAGGTATACATTTTAAAACTAAGCTCGAAATTTATAAATTTCTTTTCAAGATTTCATACTTTATATCAATGAATTTATAAATAGGCTTATAAATTCAAAATACTCGAGCTTATAAATTTAAAGTTATACACTTCAAAATATGAATTCGGAACCTATAAATTACCTTATTAGAAACTTGAAATCGTGTAATATAACACGTTACTAGAAGTTACACACAAACTAAACTCATCAATAAACTCATAATATAAATAAATTCAAAATGTATCACTCACCTATAATATGGATGGTAACCTTGTGCTGATACATGCAAGTCCATGGGCATATTTCCATAGGCATCCGCAGGTTGCATGCCCCCCAAGGGGTCCCCTGGGTAACAACACTGGCAAGCCACTGCTGCACCAGGGTGACCAAACATATGTTGAGAATGGTGACGGAGGGCATCTGCCCCACCGGGGCGGTGCCCCCTAAGTCCAGAATCCGTGGCTGCCAGTTCTAATTATTTTCTATAGTTGAAATCTTCCTTTTTTTCCCCACTTAAGACATGAATTTTCTTATGCATCTGCATTCAGAAACGCCTTTATGAATGTTTTTTTTCTTCCTGTTTAGTTCGTTTTACTTTAAATTAATCATACCAATTTATGCCAGTGCAATTTGCATATCGTTATTCAATAATCAATCAGGTCTCTTTTCATATTTACATTTTACTATTCAGCTATACTTATTGCTGTTACATGTCACCGTATTATTCTTTTGATATTTACATTTCTCACATGCCTTCATCATGCGTAATTCAATTATGATTTTTTATATTTACATTGCACGCACGCTATCATCACGTTATTCACTTATCATTATCTTTGATCATCCATTTTAATCACGTTATTCTTCCAAATCAAATTTTTTTTCTTCAAATTCTAATTTTGGATACATTTAAATTTCGAATATTCTGCCTTATTCATAAAGTTAAAGGAAAACCATCAACATATCAAAAAAGATTAGATTCATAATCAAAGAATATGTGAGCTATATAATATACGAACTATTTTTTATTTCAATTTCACTGAATTTGATCCATAACTTGATAAGGTAACAGAGAATATTTTTATAACACATCTAATTCACGTTCAAATGAAGTAAATACAAAATTTATATTCTTACCAGTTTCACAAATATAAGAAAAATATAAATTTCGATGATTATTTCATTAAAAACAACACGTATACGATGCCAATCAAAAATGATCGTACAACGAAATTGATGGAATTCGACAAATGATTGCGCACGTGGGAAAGATCGCAGGTATCCTGTAAAGAAACACGTGGCCGACTCTAGTGGTAGTGTGTTTGTAGCGGCGGAAGAAAAGCGAGATGTGACTCGGCCCGTCCCGAGTTTTCGATCGCCTCTCCTAGTTTCAGGGCTTTTCATTCGGATGTGTGCGTCGCCTCTTGCGCCTGCATACCCACTCTCTTTCATCCCTCCACCCCGTGCACTGAATATCTATTCCCCTGATTATGTTTTCTCTCTTCAGTGTCTTCTTCTGTCGCCGGTTTATTTATTTATTTATTTTGAAGCCTCGGCGCTCTCTCTCTCGTTTTGGAGAATATTGTGTAAAAGAAATGAGATTATTATAAAAGTAAAATTGGTTTTTAAGGATTTTGACTTAATGGAATGAACACGACCTGAGCCGCGATGGCTCAGGGAATAGAGCGTTCGCCTTCCAATGAGGCGAACGGCGTTCGAATCCCAGTCGATACGAATTCCGCATCCGGCTGGCACCGACCACAGTGCTGACGTGAAATATCCTCAGTGGTAGACGAATCATAGGTTAGAGCCCCCTTGCTGTCAGGCCAACCGTGGGAGGTTTTGCGTGGTCTTTCTCTCTATGTAACGCAAATGCGGGTTAGCTCCATCAAAAAGTCCTCCACGAAAGCAAATTTCTCCCAATACTCGATCTAGGAGTTCCCTTGTCTTCTGGATTGGGTTCAAAATGACAAGGCAACGGATTTGAACATTAGTAGTCGTAAACCCATAAAGTTGGGACGGCTGTTCAACGACGGTTATAAAATATAAAATAAAATGAACATGACCTTGATTTTGTTACTATGAAAATAACTATTGGAGAGGTAGGTATTTTACTTACGTCGCACTAGAGCTGCACAATGGGTTATTGGCGACAGTCTGGGAAACATCCTTGAGGATGATCTGATGACATGCATGAGCACTTTAAGGTAGAATAGTTTAACGAGGACTGATACCTCTCACCCTCGGTTCCTACGTAGGCTGATCAAAGGGGTCATCCATCTGCTTACTGACCGCAGCCAATGATGCTTGACTTCGGTGTTCTACTGGAAACCGTCTCTTTATGATCAGTCCACTGCAGGACCTATTAGAGAGGAATAATCTCAGTTAGTACGACTCCCAATAGCAGAAACCCTTACTGAAAAAAATGAAATTTGAGAAAATTTACCGTGGTTTTGGCTCTATGGGAGTACCGGAAAACCAGTAATTTTTACCGAAGCGCTAATGGTAATGACTTTTTAATAAAATTAACAATAAACTGTGAACATTAACAATAAAATGTTAACAATAAACTGTAAAATTAACAATAAACTGTGTGTGATTTTTGTTGCCATAAGAAAATTTGGTAAAATTTACCGTGTTTCTGGCTCTATGGTAACACCAAAAAGCATGGTAATTTTTACCGAAGCGCTAATGGTAATGACTTTTTGGTAAAGTTAACAATAAACTATGAATTTTATTGCATTAAAAATATTGATTAAATTTCCTGTGTTTCTCTATGGGAACATTAAAAAGCACAATAATTTTTACCGAAGCGCTAATGGTAATGACTTTTTGGTAAAATTAACAATAAACTATGATTTTTATTGCCATGCTGCTTGGTAGTAAATATGGTAGAATTTGGTAATTTGAACAGTACTAACATTGTTTAATAGTTTATTTTCAGCTTGATAATCTCTATTTAATTTAGTAAAAACACCCAATTTGTTCATTTCGTTTCTCGTCGGTTAATTGCTTTTTTTCCCTGTGTACGCTATAAGTTAATAGCTATCAACATTTAAAGCTATAGAAAATGTGCATTTGTACGATAAATGTACAAATGCCCGGATAAGGCTAAACTAAATCAATAGCTTAACTGTTATGCATCAGGGCAGTTAAGCATCCTAAAATGGTAGCGTACAGTTAGAGGGTTCGAATCCGAACTTAAACTTGGATGCATCTATCGTTTATATTTATTTATTTATTTATTGTTACGCACACTTGCATAGGTTTGTGTGCTCATTGCAAAGTTCGGCTTATATGCCCTTGTCAATATAAACACACATCACAAATAAAGACAGCACACAAGCATACATCCTGTGACACGGTGTGATTCGAACCCGCTACTTCCACGTCACAATAAATGCCCTTGTGTAATGTCTTTCTCTAATAGAGCAATCTGTTTTTCAACTTGACAAAAAGTATGTTGTCTCCGTATCATCCTCAGGGATGTTTCCCAGATCGTTGCCAATGGCCAACCATAAGGCTCCTATACTATCCTATACTATACTCTAATTTAAGGGCTCTGTCCCGCAGTGGACTGATCGTTAAGACACGGTTCCCAGCAGATCACAGAAATCAAGCATCACTAGCTGCGGTCAGTGTGCGGGTGGGTGACCACTTGGATCAGTCTGCGTAGGGATCGAGGGTGTGCGATATTGGTCCTCGTTAAACTGTTCTACCGTAAAGTGCTCGACTTCGCGTGCAGGTCGTCGGGCTACCGAAGCGGGGGTGCCATCCCCTCTGCAGAGGATCAAAATTGTGATGGCATGTCTTCGGATCATCCTCAGGGATGTTTCCCAGACCATCGCCAATAGCCCATTGTGCAGCTTCAGTGCGACGTAAATGAACAAATCATTCAATCAATCAATCAAATTAAGGGCTCTAGCCAACCATGCATCCCTAACCACTTAATGATCCGTTAATTTTCAAGAAAACGGTCATAAAAGTGTCCATTTTTTTTATCCCTGAAAATTATATGAAACTATGTGTATGAACAGTATATATATATATATATTCATTTTTAATTTTTGATTTGTTTTTAGCTTGAAATTTTAAAAAAAATTAATTTTTAGGAAAAGCCAACATTCAGTGTTAAATGTTGGTCTCCCACAAGCAAGGAAAATTTTTAAAACATGTGTTTTAAAAATATCCTGGTACTTCTATCTGGTGTGTAAAATGAAAAATAAAATGTTTTCCGGGCAAAAAAAAAATTTATTAGTTTCCAGCCCGTCCATATCACGGGAGCGAGAAGGAAGGGGCTAATGTGACGTAAATAAAAGTCCACACCGTACCGTATCAACTTGACAAGGGCTTATAATAAATCGTAATTTCTTATGAGGACGCAAACCTGCGTATGCATGTGTAAAAATAAATAAATATTTTATTGGAGTAGCAATGCTCTTTTAACTATATTTTTACAGCAATTTTATCTTTTCGCAAAACTCTATTTAATCAAATCAAATTGTAACGATAGATGTGTAACAGTTGATAAATAAAATTTGTTTAGATACATATACAGGGTAGTGTGCTTAATGCAAAAAAAAATGGCTTATCTATTGTGAAATCACAGAACAGGTACCATAAAAATGAGAAAAGGGGCACAAAGAAATTGAACCCACTAATTCCACGCTTCAGAGCGTTTGACGGAAGGACAATATGGAGGCACCAATGTTATGGGAACTTGGAGGACTTTGTGACCCTGACAGATTTAGCGTATACCAGTCAGAATTTTGTACACGGGAAGTTTTCGGTCAGCGGGGATCGAACTCATGACCTCTTGGACATGAATCCAACGCCCTACCAACCAGGCCATCCCAGCCACCAAATAAATGGCAAAATGATTGATAGTTCAGAAGAACTCTTTGGTAAATTTATCTAGAAACTTTAGAGTATAACATAAAAACCTCATATTTGGTTAAATTTACTTTTCAGTTTTGTATATATTACTAAATGTATGGTAATATGAACTATAATTTTAAAAACCAGAATTTCTAGTAAATTGTTACCATTGCGAATGACGAACCTACTAATTGCTGAGTGGTTTAAAGACCATATATTTTGGTTTAATCTCCAAAATTATGATTTCTTCTATTAGAAATGTATTTATCACGCAAGTATGGTATTGCCAGAGCTTTTTTCTCCATGTTCCAGTACGGTAGCCGGGTGCTACAGATTATTACAGCAGTTACAGATTATTTGTGATCTAAGTATTCTTTTTATTTTTAAAAACTAAACAAACAAATAGGGGGAGATTGTTGCACGGAGCAAAAAATTCTGACTAAATTACCATACCTACTTGGTATGATAACTTAGCCAAAACCATTGATAAGAGAAACGATTAATTCGGGAAATTAAATCAAAATATACACATTTTAAACCATTCATTTGGTAATTTTACCATTCGTATTGATAACGATTTACCGCAAATTCTGGTTTTCAAAAATTATAGAACTGGGAGAAAAAATATTACAAAAATGAAAAGTGAATTTTACGAATTAAATGGTTTTTATGGCATGTTTTAAAGCAGTAGTCTCCAAGTCTTTACAACTAATCTAGCAGAATCCTAAATGATTGAGGATCTTTTGGAGGAATCTCAAATATATAAATAATTTATTAGCAGCCGTGAACATATTAATAGAAAAAAGACTTCCATTATTTTGATAATACTTAACATGAGGAAGGTTGAACGATAATGTTCAATAATCGTTTTCTCAATAAAACTCTTAATAAGAGGCTTTATTCAGCAAAGGAAAATGTAAAAACTTTTTGCTATGTAGACTAGAGCAAGAAACAACATGAATAAAACATAATTTATGTCTTGTTTGCTTTTACTTGTGCTTTATTCACGTTGTTTTTTGCCTTAATAGGTTTTATATTGAACAGATGAATTCGCAGGCCTAATTTTAAATTTGTTTTTGGAACATACACTAGCTAAAAGTGAATAAAATAAGCTGAATTACGGTTTTCGAAAAAGAATTCTAATAAACGTTGTGAATAGTTATAGAAACATAACTCGTTATTCTTGAATTTGGTCATTTTATTTTGAATTGAAAATTTCGATGAGAAATATTGATATGCAGTTTCTTACAAATTTTGCCATTTCCTTTTTTAACTATCTTTTTACTTAAATAATTTCATAAAAGTAACCAAACTATCAACAAAATCATGGTATAATAACATAATATAAATATAATAACAAGTTTCAAAAATTAATCCTGATTTGGATTCAAAAATTAATCCTGACTCTCGGAACCTCCTTTGTGACCCTTCCACGGAAACCCAGGGTTCAGTGAAACACCATTTAAAAACCGCTGTTCAGAAGTATCACGATAAAATTACTAAAATGTTCTTCAGAACTGTCACTCGTTTTATGAGACATCTTTTTCAAAGATATCTAAGCTTCTTTCTAATA